GCTGACTGCTCGTCCCCCCTTGGGCATACTTGGCCTCGAGTGCTGAAGTCTCACGCGGGCGCGCCAGCCAGTCGACGATCTGCAACCCCAAGGAGCAAGTGGCCCTACTGTGGGCGCCGACAACAAGGGCCGAACAAATTGGTCGCATTTGCATGTGGCAGTGACATGATGTTACAAACAGCTGACAAGCACCGCCAGGAGGGAGTCTACACTTAGGAACAGCAATATGACTCAACGTCCAGCCGTATACGCTCAAGGATAGTCTCTAAGAACACAGCCACTATCACAGCCCTGTAAATCGCCCAGAATTTCTGAACATTCCGCTCCTGCACTTTTGCCACCTTAGCTCATAAACACTCACAGGACAACGAGAATCACCACAACAAGTAAGTTCAAGCCCAACAGGACACTTGGGGTGTTGCCGAGCGCTGCCGAAGCGAGGCGCAACCCCAGAGCTGAACTTCGTGTTCAAGTTCACCTTAACCGTTCACATACAACGAGAAACATACAACTGCTGATCAGCTCGACGAGAGGCATGAAAATACACGCTCAAACTGCGAAACGACGCTCCACACCTCGCTCAGTAGCTCAGTATGACGAGCGTACTGACCATTCTCCAGATGTCGCAAACCGATGTCGTCGATGCTCGTTCCCTGCGGTCCAGCGCTGCGCTCCACTCACTCGCCAAGCAACCGACGATGAAGACGAGTCGTTGAGTCGACGAAGTCAGTGTCCAACGTGGGCGCGCGCGGGTCAGTCGGTCAACGAAACGGGAATCGAGCTCGGCGTCAAGCTGGGGGTATGTGCAGCGGTGCACAACCCTAAGGACAATTGACCCGGAGGGTCAGGAGGCAAAGGCACACGAAAACGAAAGTGCTCGTTACAAAACCTCTCCCCTTCGACCACGTTCAACCTCCACATATTCACAACACGACCGTTCGCAACCGAACACCCGCCGTTCAGACTGCTAGAACCAAGAACGGACGGGTTGGGGTTGGAGAGAGAGGGGGGGAGACACTCATAACCCAACCTCCGCCACCTAAATACCCCTAAAAGCTCCAACAGCACTACACTTCAGCGACCCTCGGATAATCAAACAGTCACATCAAGAAAAAGGCCACAATACTCCTTGTACCTCTCAGAACTTTCCATTGACCTTCTCCATGTTGACCCTTTCCAAAGGGTCACACAATACAATCAAAAAAGTCACTTTTGAACACTACAATACTACTCAACACCCGTCAGCGCCCCTTGACAGTACTCCTATGAAGATGTATTGCTGTACATCCTCTTCCCACTCACGCTGCGATGAACTAAGTGTTGTAGGTTCCTGAAAAATCAAATTAGGGGGAATCCCCCTATCCAAACAAAAAATACACCTAATGCATTTTTCATCCCATGTACACCCATCACACCCCACAGTCCCGTAGTGGGTATTGTCCCCTGGCTGCCTAACCCATTCTACCTCCCTTTCCCCCATGTACAACATGCGTGCCCTCAATTGAATACCCTGCATCATCCAGCTTCCTTCCGGGCCTGGCAGCTCCACCTCCCACTCAGTCATTATGTAAGGGGTGGCAACCCTCCTTGGCTGGTCGGGGCTTGGCCCGTTACCCGTTCGAGTCGGGGTCCAGTCGGGAACGAACTTGAACGGCAAGGTTTCGATTACAGAAGTGTTCCGGTGTTCCCGTTTATATACCCCATGTCCAAGGCAGTCCAAGGGTCATGCCAGAATTGGGTGAGTCACCCAGATTCTGGCATGCCCGCCCAGTTTCGTAATTTAAACCCCCAACTTCGTGTCCGTTCGTTTCTACCGACCCGTGGTCACCCAGCGCCTCTCTCTACCGTATTGACCAATACGGCACTCTTTCCCTTTGTCCATTTCATCATCACCCAGTCCAGTTATCCTTAGTAAACCCAACATCTAGCTTTGGCTCCTAACGGCCAGCTGCGGCGTGCACTCCACGCCCCGTTCATTGAATGAAATGGCTAAGTACTATCCCGCATTAGAACCCGTTTCCCGTGAGCTATTATACAATGTTTCCCATGCTAATATACAGTACCGCCCAGGTTAATATACAGGTGAACTTCCCCTTCTGTCCTAATGTACAAGGCTGCCCTCACACATTACGTAACATTTCCAATGTGACGCGGCGACCACCCTCGAGTACGCCCAGGTGGCGCGCTCCACCATCCCCACCGGCAGCCCCCCGTCTCCCTCGGCGAGGCCGCCCACGCACCCCTCCCCGGCCCACGCGAACGGCGCGGGCGGGCTGTCCGGGCCGTCGCGCTCGGCGGCCATCCAAGCATCCCTCTCGGAGATGCTCCAAACGCCCTCGCCGCACCAATTCGCGGCGAAGACACTCCGCCGGAGCCGATCACCCAACCGAACGTTGGGGATCGCCGCGACCCAGTAGGCTCGGACGGCAAACAGCTGGCCGTTCCGGTGCCTTACTCGCCACCGAGTCATGGCATCAAAAGCGGAGTGTAGCCAAAAAAGGGGCGTTCCGGGGCCGGAGGCCATGGCCCATGCCTCCGCCCCACCGAGCCCATTGCGGCACGCGAGCACCACTTTGCCCGCTTCGTCCAGGCCGACCAAAGGCTCGCCCGGGGCCCTTCGCCCTTGTGTGCACGGATCCACAAATATCCCCAGAGGGAGAGAAAGCACCGCTCCGCCATGGAGCATGGCGGAACCGGAGGGTCCGCCCACACCGAATGCGAGCACATTCGACCCGCCTACGGAACGTGGGGATGCTTCGGCCATGGCGAGGGAGGGCTTCCAACGGTCCCTGCACAGTCGGGGAGGCTGGGGTGTTGCGGCGCGCCGAGCAGACCGGGCACAGCGGGCGTAGGCGGGGCGCAGGCGCAACCCGCAGGGACCAGATGCAGGAGGGCGCGGTCACGTCCGACATACGGTACCTTACACGAAATGTCAAAAGGGTAGTCTCCCGTACGGGTGCAAAACCACAAAGTACTGTTAGCAGCCGCACCCAACGTCCCATCACGCCTCATTGGACCCCTATACCCTGCCAGTACCTGTCCTGTCAAGGTCCTAGTACCTTTTGCAATAGTTCAGGTCCATCCAAGGACACCCCCTACGGTTCATGGTCTCCTCAAAAGGGTCAGGAATTGGCCATTTTTCCCTCTGAAAGTCACTCAAAAGGCCCTTACAAACCGGCCAGCCTCTCACTCAGGGTCCCTCACCACACGCCCTACACACACCATGCCTCTTTGTCCCGGGCTAATAGTACTGGAAAATCTACCATAATCGCATACTAAACCCAATTCTGTACACCCAAATTCCACCACCGTCAAACTGTATTGTATCCCGTCAGCATGCGGATCCAGCTGACTAGTTTTCGCCCTTTTCCTTGACCAGTTCACAGCCCAGTCACAGCCGTCCGTGCTGCCCGTAGAGTGCTCTTCAATTGACTTTATTGTTGCTCATTCTGGACGGTTCTGATGAGTGACAATGCAAAACAGCGAGATGGAGGATGTCTCAACTGTAAATGCATCGATTCATGTGCACTGGAGAGAGGCTGAGCGTGCACACGTTTGCCTTGAGCATTCAGCAGCTGCAGGACCGCCAAATGTAACCGTATGTCATGCGGTTCAAGGTAGCTTCTTCTGAGCACATTGGCCGTTCCTTTCTCTACGGTTTTCTCTCGATTACAGTGGTGGTCATTTACTTGAGCCGAATGTACTGTAATCGAACACATGTTATATGAACATAAATGCTGTAACTTGCAATTTTTTTGGTCGGATTCATGCCACGAAAAACATCAGCTGTAGTGCTGTAGCTGCTGTGTTCATGGCATGAACCCGACAACTGAATGTTGCTCACCTGGGCAACTGCTCACTGATCGCGCGATGTGTCATGGCCTTGGCCAGCGACTCCACACGAGACCCAGACGCTTCCATTCTTCCTGATTTCCATCAATGGTCATGCCGGCATGCTGCATGGGCACAGCTGCCACGTGTTGTATTTCAATCCAAGCCACTGAGCAAATCCACACAGCGGCATCCCAGTATACGCAATGCCTCGCCTTCATTGGTGTGCAACACGGCGCGCTGGCGACCTTCATGCCAACAAGTAGATCCGCAATGCTCGACCCACCTTTGAAGAAGTTGCATATCCTGGATATCGGATAAGATATGAGTGCCACATCCCTGGAAGTGTGTTATCCAGGATGTGCAACTTTTTCCCGACCCACGGAAAGGCGCAGGGCTCACCCACGCACCTCCCAAATCACTGGGCCAATTGAGGACGGGCATTTTGGTGCAATCGACATTTTGCACGCCAAACGCTCCTCTCCTCCAGCGGCATATTTTCCAATACATAGCCACTTGGTGCATCGGCAATGCCCACCTTCTAGCCTAGCAGGCCTGCGGTATTGGGAGCCAAATATGGGTGCGGTAACGGACGACGTGTGCCGTCGCAGTCATGCGAGTAAGGCATTTTCAAATGTGCAAAGGGAAGGTGGTTTGCCCGTGAAATTGCTCCAGCCAGCCAGCGCACAAGTGCGTGTCTGGCGAGCCCCTTGCCGCGATCCCCAAAATAGCCCATGTGCGGTTTCCGGGTGCAATGTAGCTTGTCCACAAAATCGCAGCCGCCAGGAATCAATCAGGAGCCATCTAGAGGCCACTGCTGCTGCAAAACCCGTTCGTGTGATGAACTCCTATGCTTTATGCTCGGGACACCGATTCGCTCTCTGTTATTCGGTACTTTGGATCTTAGCTACTTCCCCAACTACAGAATCCCGCGATCCTCTACATCGCTCGGCGCCTTGGCGTTATTTGGCAAGGCGGGTCAAGCGCGGCCACGGAGTGCCAACGGCGAGCCCAACTGCGCCTGTGAATCACCAAAGGCAGTCGCGTGCTCATTTACTGGCGCTACACAAGCACAATGCACAGATGTGTTTAGACCTACTTAATTGCCGTTCAACTAAGCATTAGCCGTGCCACGCATCTAATGTGGGAAATTGAGTTAGAGTGAAATTCTACGACTCCGTGGCGAACACGCTGATCCTCGTCGAGCCTCCGAGCATCCTGGAGGTGACGCCTGAATTGCGAATGATGATGTCATGCAGCTGGACCTCGTCTCTCAAGATGCTGTCCAGCCGGGGGTAGATGTCCACGAGCATCTGCGTGAAGGTGAATCCCTTGTAGAACAAACGATCTCCGTCCCTGGCGCCACGCGATGCACAATGAGTGCGTACCTCATGAAAATCACGAGAACCACGTGTAATATTACATGTACACAACCACAAAATGAGCAGATCAATACGCAATCATAATCAATGAATGCATGAATACAACTGTAAAGTAAATAGCCCAATACAATATCATAACCAAAATTAAACGAGCATACGATCAGGCAAACAAATGCATAGTTATATGTATAGGTAAATCAAGAGAGGCAATTTGGGCACACGAGGATCTGTGCAGACTCTCAATGAGCTCCGAGAAACATGACAAAGGTATATGTATTGCACAGCATTTTCCAGGGAATTCAAGCAAAATGAATTTGTCATTTTCATTTTGTGTTCTTATGAGGACACGTGCCGACACGGCCATTTGCTGCCAGCGCTCGTCGCACCTGACCCGGGCGAAATTCGCCTTGATGCTCTCGTAGAATAGGTCCCCGACGAGACTGCAGTCCTCAGACGGCTTCTCGGCCAGTCCGCCGATGATGGGATCCACAAGGTCGACGTCCCCGTTGTACACGTCTTCCAGCTTGCTGGCGAGGTCCAAATCCCCGCCCGTGATATCGGAGAATTTCTTCGCCCTGTGGAAGCAAAATGGGAAGATTGGCACTGCTCTTTCCCCACGAATCTGTGGCTTACATGCCAATTGCACATGTGCAAAAGAACGGTAGCCATGATTCTCGCCACTTGCATCTGCTAACAAAGGGGATAAGAATACCAATGCCGTGCGCAGTGTCGTGTGTCGGCAGTGATTCCCAAGCCTGAGTGGAAACACTGTACTTTGAGACCCAAACTTAAACTAGGGAGCTGCCATTCATAATTTCAACACAGGGCACTGTGTTTCGCGCTTGCGTTGACTGACTGTCCGCGTTACTCGCCGGAAGGTGTTGTAACGCTTTCCCAGAAAAATAGCGCAACCCAGTGCCATCCAAATTATGACAATTTTGATTTTGTTCAGTTACAATTTCATGGTAGAATCAGCGGTAAGATAACAATTGCCGAAGTTTTGATGATTGTGTCCGACCCCATGAAAGTGCATTTCATCGCCATGCATGTGTGCATCTCGCATCCCTCCAATGTAATCCGAATATAAATGTCCGATGGATATCATATCCGGACATGAAAATCATGCAGGTCATCACATGGCCTTAACTACAGGTCGCTATCCGGGTTGGGGTGTTCATTAGGAACCCAAACCAGGCACATTTTCAAAACCTTTGCGTCTCCGGCACCTTCGCGATCGCCAGGACACCTTCGTGAACTTCATGACTTGAAATCATAGGTATCTGGCAATCCTCACAACATACTGTAGGTTTCGAAACCCTTCCGCATCGGAAAATGTTATCGCCACGCTTTTACTTCGCATTTTGTTCTCCAGAGCGTTACTTTATTATCTGCGTTACTCCGCGGAAAATTGACTAAAGAGCGCTATTTGTTCTATTGTTTTCTCCGCAGAAAAAGGCCAAGCGTCACGTTACTCTGCGGAAGGGTTGTGTATATTGCACTAATCCGAATGGGTCGGGCGCACCCACCTGGGGAGGCCGAACGCCTCCCGAGCGTCGTTGTACATCGGCAGACCAAAGTCCCTCGCCCGCTGAATGTCGATCGCCATCAAATCCAGGGAGGGCAGGCTGGCGTTCCTCGCCGCGAAAAAATTCCGATAGTCGTCCGACATGCGCGTGTCCACGCCGTTGGCCACGTGCCACAGCATGCCCAGCAGCCACTCGTCGAAGTCGACGGCGGAGATGACGTCACCCGCGGGCCGTCCGTACGTCATCCGGGGCAGCAGCGATTCGGTAGGCCTCTCGGGAGGGAAGCCGGATTCCGGACTTACCTTCCAGAGGGTGCTGCCGAGCATGGAGTGCACGAACCTAGAAAACACCGAATTTATATTTTGCAAGTCCAAAAAAACTGGCCATGTTTATTGAAGATTTGCGCAAATACTGGCATGAGTGTCGTGAGAGGCGGCAAGGCGCTCAGCGCTGCGGGAAACAGAAGCATGATGCGCAGCCGAAGGAAGATCGGAAATGGACAAAAGTGAGAAAACAAAAGAGGAAACAGCAGGGAATGCAGAAAGATTGGAAAAAGATGAGATGGCGTGAAATGGGGAGTATCTGTTTCGTGGTGTAGCGGATGATGCACAAGTCTCTGAAGGCAGGTTGGTGGATCCAGGACTCCTGCTGATGGTGCTCTCCGTGCCCTACTACTGATGGACACTTCAGGGCAAAATTGCAGGAGATAGTCTGCCAGGAATGAGAGGCCAATTGGCCAATTTGCAAACTGCAAAGAAACCAGCAGCGGCAGTGCGCGTAATAGCAGTGGATATTAACGCAACACTACCAGAAAAAGGACCAAAAAGACACAGATATATGCAGACACAGATATATGCATTTTCATCAGCGTTATTCATGGTAAAAACACGAAAATAACCCAAAACCGTAAACTTTGTGCACGTTTGAACACGTGTTATTTGACCTTTGTCCCCTAGCGCAATTTCATACTGCCAATCCAAATTGTCAGGCGACCATCTTCTATGTTGTCGTTGCGTTTCCTAATACTCACCCTCGGCTCCATATTTACCACATTGCGAGTAAATCCTTTGGCGAAGAATAGAAACACCTTTACAGGGCAATTTAGGACAAGCAAGTATTGTAAAGTACTGAACTTTATATCGCTTTTCACCAAAATAGAGTTTGAAATGCAAGAACTGGTGGCTGAAGAAACTTTACTGTGCCCACATTTGTCCCCAAATGGTACTGGATCATAAAAAAAGATGACAGACAACATTTCAGGAAAAGTTGGAGTGAGCAATGGCTGTGGAGTGCCGAGCCTTCTGCCGCTTTTCCCGAAAGAGGGTTTGGTTACCTGGAGGATACCGTGGCGAAGAACAAGTCCACGCTGGCGTCCTGGGCCCTGTTGTAGCGCCAGTCATTGGCCACCAGGATCCCGGGACACAGGATCGTAGGCAGAAATTCGTTGAATACGATGGACTGGTATTCCGATATGACGATCTCCTTTGCGTACTCGTACAATTCGTCGTCGGTCAAGGAGCCGCCGGAAGCCTCCAGCAGCTCCGCGGCGACCTGAAATGAAGCAGAAATTAGGAACGAGCCAAAAAAGCCATTCAAACATAACTTGGAATTTTCTTGAGAGTAAATTGTGGTTCTCGAGGATTGCCTTTGTTCCCTCCCTTTAGGGACGAAGGATTTAAAGAGCAGCTGCGAGAGCGCGAGTGTGTCGAAAAGAATGGAGAGAGGCGGTGAATAGAAGTGTCGAAGTTCAAATGTTGGATGAGAGTTGTGCCGACAATCGTCATCAATTGCAGGCAAGTGAAGCTAGCCAATCTGCGAAGCAAACGGAGAGCTGAGAAATGATGGATTGGCTGACAGCACTCTGGCGCCGATTAGAATACCTTCGACCAGAGCTGCAACATCGACCAACACATTCTAACGCGACACAACGCACTGAGCCCAGCGGCACTGGCGCCTCTCACCTGATTGTGTTCCTTGAGCCAGAGGGCGTGCATGGCCAGCAGGAGAGCGCTCTCCCCAGACCTCGCGTCGCCTGTTACGTAATGCTCGCTTCCCGCGTCCGGCACGTTCTGCAGGTTTACGCCCACGCCCCCCTCTCCGCCGCCGTTCCGCGGCAGGAAGCCGTCCGGTCCCACCTTCAGGGTCCCGGCCGCGCCGGACCTCAGGGCCCTGGCGCGCACGTCGTTGCCGCCATAGACGGGGCCCAGATCCAGGTAGGACGTCACCTGCTTGGTTGATTGATTTGTTGCGTGAGCGAGTGATTTGTTTGTCAAGCGCTGTGATTCGTCGCGCGGAACCCCTTTAGGGATGAGCGGGCCGCAGCACTAGTGTACACATAACATATAATGTACAATATGTCAATATATACCAATGTGTGCATTGGCATATTGTATGCCAAGGTACGCACTATATAATATGTACTTGTTGCGTACCAAAATACCAAGTCCTGTGCCACATGGTACAGGGGGCACGTGGCTGCAGAATGTGTTCCTCAATTACGTTTCACAATGTTGCCTTCTTCCTTTTATTCTTTGTGGTATCCGTCCCGTTTGTTCTTGTCGACAGATGCGGCACAATGATTGAGATCCGGTGGGTTGAGTTTTCTTCATATAGCATTAAATTGTGCATGATGCCACGCAATAAGCGGCTCGCCCTCCATTATATCACCAGTGTATGGAAAAGAGCCCTGCATTGCGCATCCAAATGCAACCTGTCATTTTCGATCATCATCTCCCCATGGGACAAACTGCATCAATTCTGCCTTCTGGCCAATGCAGCGCAGGAGCATTTCACCCACCAACATTCACCAGCATAACTCCCCCCCGGGCTCCCCTTTTGTGTTCCAGGAATTGCTAGCATAAAAACGTACTCCTATCGACGTGAATTCACTGGCAGATGCGCGTTGTCATGGGATACAACGTTAGCTTTGAGCCCAGGTCTGAGCTCCAACTGCCAGCCCAATGACTTTCTTCCGACCTACAATTGCTTAATACACACAATTGCTTACACAGTACTCAACATACAGTACCCAATACACTTGCTTAACACAGTACTGTTTGGTTCTCTTTAGTGCAGTACTCTTTTACGCTACTACACTGTTTTACCAGCGCCCGTGATGCACGAAAGATCCCTACTCGTCACCTGGTTGATGTACGCACGAGGCGTGACGTCATCGTTCTTGACCCTAACCCACGCGGACCTATTGTAGTTTAGTTCCCCCGGCGCAAACGCGGTGTCCTCCAGCGGCACCACAATGTTGAAAGGCTCCTCAAAGCGGTTCTGCGAAGCCGTGAAGAACGGCGCCGGGCCGCTGAAGAGGTCGTGGCGCGGGTTGAAGAACATGTCGTGGAAGACCAGTTGGCCGAAGGAGACGAAGGCGTCGCTGATCATCTTGCCCTTTTGATTTTCGTCGCCGCCGCCCTCTGCGCCCACGCATTCCTAAATTCCGTTGATAGGGTAAAGAGAACTGAAGATTCGTTTCAGGATTTATTTGTTATTATTGATTTATTATTGATTTAGGATTTCTTTATGATTTCAGGCTCAACATGGAATGAAACGATGCACGAATTCCAGCTATGCAGCCTGAGACAAGCGATGCGATTTGCGATTTGCGATTCTTTTCAACTCAGTGTTGCGCGCTGGATACCCATCCAGTCAGAACATTGCAAAGTGGTCGCCGCCAGCCCGTCCCGCATGGGAGTCCGCGGCCGGATCGATATGAATGCACCGAGGGCCGCGATCGACATGAATCCGGCGCAGGATTTAGCCCCCCTCACCGGCGGCCACCTCGTTGCTGATGAGCCTCGGGCTGACGTCGCTGCCGCTGGGCTGGCTTCTCCTGTCCGCGAATGAGGGGTCGTTTCTGGACAGGCGCCTGAATTTGGAGAAGGCGGCTCCCCAGGCGGCGTTGTGTGGGTTGTTGCAGGTGCCGTGGGGGGTGCGCACCGTGGGGTCGTGGAGGCAGTCGGCGTCGCCGAACTGAAGCTTCAGATTCTCAATCTGCGAAGGCAGACACAGAGGATTTTCCTTAAGTTCAGGAAACGTTTAGGTGAACATTATCATGATTTAGGTATGTGTCAGAGCGTTGATTTTCAAGCCACCGGCGTAATGAGGCAGCCCATGATTAAGGCGAATCCCAAATAGTTGCTCTATAGCTTAATGACGTATGAACAAGTTTTTAATGCGAATTTGCATTTGCATTTATTTGCATTTAAATTTATGCGATTTTTAGGACTTCGAACCGTTTGTCCCTGGAAGACAATTGCATAACATGGGCGACTTTCTTTCCAGTGTTGGCTGCTCCATTCTCTCGCCAATTTCTCAGCAGAGTGAACTACAATGAGTTTGCATATCCAAAATCAAGTATAACCATATTTGCCGCGCTCTCAAAAAGTTGTCACTGTTCACGACAGCGACATAGTAGCTCGCGTCTAAATAACACGTGTCCCAATATGTACAAAATTTACGGGTTTACGTTATTTTTGTATCCTTAGCGTGCAAAACTTTGATGATATGTGTTGTATGTGTGTTCGCAAAAGTGTTATTTGGCCCTTTTTTTCCTAGTGTAAGTAAGCACACAAAATACCCTTTCGAGAGAAAAAACACTAGGAATGTATTGCAAGGTACCGCACACCTCATGCCATAGGCTCATTTCGGCCTAAAAGGGTACCGCAGGATTCCCAGCCACTGGCCGCCCACCATCGTCTCCAAGAACTCGCGGAAGAAAAAAACGGACGCCTCCGCCGCCCGCGCCGGCGCCACCTCGGCCTTGAAACCCACGTTCACCCGAGCGTTGCCGCTGCCGCTGTCCGGCACCAGGTGCATGTACTGGTAAGATCCCACGAAGCTGACGTCATCGGGGGGTATGTGCAGGAGGGCGCTCGTCTGGCTGGACACTCGAAAGACGTGGTACATGGACTCCTGTGCGGTTTGGACCACCTCGAAGGCCATCTGCTCGCCCGAAGTGAGGTCCACCAGGATGGTGCCGCTGCTGCTCCTCTCTACTGTGTACGCCAGATGGCGGAAGCCGTAGCGGATGGCGTCACTAGAAGCACAAGAGCATAGCCGCTGAGCTGCACAAGCCGGTACTACGAAGTACGAGGTCCTGTGTTGAACTCCGTGCACGAAGCACGCGTGTCCTATGCATGGACATTGGCGATGTTGTTGGTTACATGCTGTCAATAGATGTTGTGTCAAAGCACATATGTGTAGATATCAATATCGACCCGCATTCATGCGCCTTGGCATTTTGATGAAATCCCTGTCTCTTTGCGGAAAAATTACAGTCCTTTAGTGGTCCGTGCTTTTCGACCCCGCTTTCGTGATGGCTAATTAGCTGAAAGCTTCGCGTAGGCCTACGCAATAGGCTACGGCTGTATAAGCTGGTAGCGCCAGTGGAACTTTTTATTGAGTGAATAACGGGGGAGTTGTTTTGAAATCAACTGTATGCTTTTGTGGTTCTGCTCCTGGACAGTGCTTGCGCATTAGAGAAAATTCTCCATTTAGCTTCAGGCGCTTCAGAATTACCGGAGTAGGTGATGGCGCCATTCATACATACAAATTGTCCCAGAAATCCCAGTGTGATTTCAATGTATAATATCAAACACTACAAGGATTGATATACAAGAAGGAGACTGCTACAATCACACGCATGCAGCACACGGCAGATTGAGGTACATTAGGTGATTGTACATTCGCACGTGCAACTCTCACACACAACATCATTGCTCGTTTTTGTATTAGAGCATATTTATATTACATGTAAATACATTCTGATACAAAGTGATACAAGTATCAGATATTGTTGTAAACCGATATTTACTTAAAGAAGAGGGGGATGCCCCTCACATGGGATCTCTCAAGGCGCTCCACGCGGTGAGCACCGGCTTGGACAGCGAACCAGTCAGCACCTCCTCCCACTCTTCCCCGCCAGGAACCTGCACATTTGCAAAATTTGGCTGAGCGTTTTCAGTTGTTCAACGATAAATCCCATACAAGCAGAGCGGCCACATCAAAATACCATCAAGTATAGCGCATTGCAGCACATGCCCGAATTTCGTTCTCCACCAAATAAAAAAGATTCGGAGGAAAATTGGCAGGAAAACAAGGTAAAAATACACATTTTGGTCCAGTTTCACGCGTTCGAAAACGCGTAATGTGGAACAAAATCGCTACAGCCATGCACAAATAACACCAATCCGACGTGGGCTATGCAAGTGTATACGCATCATGCAATTCATGGGGTACTCTCTCTGAGCGAGAATGCAAGCAAAGGTCCTCTACACAGAGTTCCATTTCCTAAAATGGAATTTTCAATATTCTGCTTCTACAAAACATAGCGCTGTTTGGCAAACCATGTACAAATTTGTGCTCAGCGGTAATTCACTGCGCACGCGCCCACGTCCAAAAGCAGCGAAATTGCATCAAAGTGCACCAAAGAACGCTCCTTTTGAATACAATCCACCAATATGCAGTAAAATTGGTGCAACAAAATAGAGAAAAATACAGCAAGTACTGCAAAGTACAACGAAGCACACCGGTGCCCAAACAGCTATCGTCGGTCGAGTTGCCTGTCGGCACCTGCGGGTCCTCCGCCACCACCACCTCTGCTTCATTGTCCTTCTTTCCGGGTATGCCGCTTGTGCAGTTGTTACATTTCACCTTCCCAGAGACTTCGGACTTGAGAATGCAGGCGCCCTCGGCCAGCCAGTTGTACGCCTTGCAGTCTGAAGGAATCATTTCAAACTGAATGGACGAAGAACTTAATTTACGCGAACACCCATTTGAAAGCGATGAAATTTGTAATATTTGGCCTAAATTGTTGCTTCAAGCGCTTTTATCTCAGCCCTCGACAGAATGAATCATGTGCAAGAAGTTAAAGGCGTTCTAGCTCGAGAATATCCAAGTGCACCCTTGCACAGATTCTGAACGCTTTCAGTATCTGTGCAAAGTTTGCCACAAGTTTGAGCGCACGAGGTAAGGTACTGTTAAAAAAGTGCGCCGAAATCAAGAAAACAATCACTGGCACAAATTTCGGAAAATATTTAATACTTATTATCAGCTCATTGTTCGTATTGTTCATCATTGCTATCATCTTTATTTTGTTCTGTTTTTCTGCATTTTTCGCGAAAGGCGAACACACTGTGTTTGTTTCCCACCTGCATTCTCTTGGCACCGCAGGCAGCACTCCTCCGCAGTGGGGGTTCGCAAGAGGTTGCCATCCACGACGATGTCTCCCAGGAAGAACACGTTGTCCTCAGCTTTGCACTTCTTCGGCCTGTCGACTGCCCATCGAAGATGAATAATTTTTAGCCCCTACCATACATATTGTTTTGGCCCCTGCCATACCTACCATTACCACACCTC